GTTATAGCGTTTGTTTTAGCGTGATTGTTGAAATTAAGTGTATCGTAAAGTCTGCATCTCAGCAAATCCTTGTGAGCATCAAGGTGTTAATTCACGAAGGAGTACCAGAAGCCATACAGAAGCTTTATGGTGTGACAGGACATTCTACAAGATTGTGGGGACCAGTGTGGGTAACTATCGAGCTGATGGGCATGAAAAACAGACTGAATGTATACTTGGCTGACATTGAAGACGAATGCATATTAACCTTGGTAGTAGATAGTCCAATCCCAGTTTATAATTGATTTTGATAAAATGACGTTTGGGAACAACAAAGGCCAAGTTCCTGTAACTGTTAAAAGAGAGGTTGAACTAATTAGATGCCATCAAGCTGAAGTCAAGCCGACTGAAAAAGTTGATGATGGTGAAGTGGAACCAAATATACATATCAAAGCAGAACAGGAGAAAGATCAAGATTTGAAACCAATAACAGATTTTTTAAAAGCAAGTGTTTCGCGCCCTGCTTGGGAGAAGGTGTCTACTCTAAGCCCTGTGACAAAGCACTATTGGGCACAATGGGACCAGTTAAAGCTTGAAGATGGTATTCTTGTACGAAGATGGGAAACTAAAGATGGGAAAGTGACGACCTGGCAAACGGTTATACCGAGAAACTTACAGGAAGTTGTGCTGCGTCAATCCCATGATAATTTAACAGGAGGACATCTCAGAATTAAGAAAACATTGAGTCACCTACAACAAAGATTTTACTGGATAGGTATGAGGCGAGATGTGGAAGAATGGTGCAGAACATGCAATACATGCAGTGCTAAAAGGAGACCCAAGCATAAAGGATGCCCACCTTACGAAGAGTTGCCTGAGAATGTGTCAGAGTTTGTGAAAGTGTTATTGGAAAGAATGGATGATATTCACCATCAAGTACGTTCAAACTTGAAAAAGTCTGCTGATTCGATGAAGCTAACTTATGATATAGATCTACTGAAGTCAGCTTTGTGCCAGGAGACAAGGTATGGTTGTATAATCCCAGGAAGACCAAAGAGAAGTCTCCTAAGTTGTCTTCTCCATGGGAAGGCCCATATGACATAGTGGACCGTTTCTCAGACGAGACTTTCCGGGTAAAATGTGGTCGGCGAGGTAAGCCAAAAGTGGTGCATGCCAACAGGCTTTGGCATTATCACGGTCCAGGACATTTCAATTGGGACGAAGTGGACAACAAAACAAATGGCGCTGCTGAAAACGTGCCACCTGAAGAAGAAACTCTATTCAGTTTTGAGAAAAGAAACGGTGAAGCTGTTGATGAAGTTACTACCACTGATGTGACTGTTACCGACAATAGGAAATTTCCTGATGAAGCAGATGGAACCCACGTGAAGCAGACAGCAACGAGATGGAGACCAGTACGGAAGAAGATACGTCCCGTAAAATTAAGAGACTTTGTTGAATTGTAATTTTGTGATTGTAATTCTGTACATTTAATTAAGTTATTGTTAATTATCTATTGGTTTATTGTAAGTGGCTATTGTTCGAGACGAATAATACTAAGGAGGGGCAGTGTTGCGTCAGCGAGGTCACGTGACTAGTATCACGCCACCCGTTTTCTAGAAATATCCTGTTCCTTCAAGAATGTCCTAGCATTTACTAGATATGTGTTAGTCTTGTATATATATAAGACGGTCACAACTTGACGGGACAACAGTGTAGACAGTGAGTAATTGAACTGCAATCAGAGAGTATTATTGAAGTTGAGCACGTGAGACGTTCGTTGTTATAGCATTTGTTATAGCATGACTGTGGAAATTAAGTGTATCGCAAAGTTATATTCAGAAAGAATAAACCAGTTTTATTTAAGAAAGGACTTGTGTCGCTAAAGTTTCGTCGGAACGAATTTACGGAAAATTAATTAACGAACGGAGACGTAACATTATGTTTCTTAACAAAAATACAAACAAACTGAAAAAAAAAAGGGAAGAACATTGATGCCAAACGAATATGCATCCTCATTCATCCTGACTTTTTTGTGAAATCTACGTCTTTTAGTCTGAAAGCCACGTCTTGCGGTCTTTCTTTTATGTATCTTGTTATAAGAAAAATTGATATCATTTTCGGATTCAGCATACAGGAATTACTGTAGAACATGTATATATTTCAAGACAATAAAACCATCCAGGCCTGTATAATTTTGAACTTTGAAAATAATATAGTCGCTATTTTCGATATAATAAATGTAATTGAAACGATTTTTCGAACCTTAATATAATCAGCAGTTTTCTTTCGTTCATGTTATAAATAAAGTAATTATTTGTGTTCTTTTTCGCTCTGAATTTCACCTTTTGCATTTTACTTGGAACAAATCGTTATATTTGTCTTTCCAAATACTATGTCTGAAAATTTCTCATTATTGCGAAACAAAAACATGTTTGGAGGTTTACTTGGTGCCAAGTTTCACATCCAATCCTAGAGTCTTCATCAGGTACAGTTTAGTTAACTTAGGCCTAAATAGACTGTGTGAGAAAACGTCTGTACATTTTATTTTAGTTAATTGATAAATTCATGTCGATTATTAATCTAAAAATTTTCTAAAATAAAGGCTGTTGAAAAGAAATTCAACTACATAAGGAAAGGCGGCTAAAAAAGGTATGGTACACGAAGAGAGGAAACGTAAGATCTAAGCATAAATAGTGAGGTATGGAGAGAAAACTTTGATAGACGTCTTTTCCAAATAATTGTAAGTAATTTGATGAGAAGTTAATAGTTCAAGCTGTTTATATTATTTTAGATTCAGTTTTGTTTTGGTTCGAACGCCCTTTTCAAGCTGACGAAACATAATTAATTTGCTTATCATTAGACATTAGTATTACACCTATTATATTTTTATCACTGCCTTCTATATCTAGTCCCTCTGGGCTTTAAGAAAAAAGTATACAATAATAGTATTCCAGCCACACTATATTCGTCATGTGATGGAACTGTTGTGTTCCAGCTGGCCTGATGAATTCTAGATTTATCGAAACACGCCATCGGCAACTGATACAGCGAACATAGTGTAGTGCCTGCTGTTCGCTTGACTCAATTATCTCTATCTTCAATCTATCTGCATATCTATCTATCGCTGGCTTTATTTGCCGGGCTTATATACTAAGAAAGAGGGCGCCTGGCAAACACTCGGACATTTGCGGGGTCCCTCGATAAGTCATAATCCTTCTAGAAACTCCAGCTCACATGCTCCCAGCGTCGTGTGACTTCTGCTGTCGTAACACTGCCCCTTCCTTAGTATTGTTCGTCCCAAACAATAGCCACTTACATTAAACCAATAGATAATTAACAATAACTTAATTAAATGTACAAAATTTACAAACACGAAATTAAAATACAACAAAGTCTCTTAATTTTACAGGACGTATCCTCTTCCGTACTGATCTTTGTCTCACTGGCCTCTGCTTCACGTAGGGTTCATCTGCTCAATCAGGAAATGTCCCATTATTGGTAGCAGTCACATCAGTGGTAGTAACTTCATCAACGGCTTCACTATTTTCTTTCTCAAAACCGGGTAGAGTTTCTTCTTGAACAGTGTCACCTGAAAAAGCAACGTCTTCAGCAGCGTCATTTGTTCCGTTGTTCACTTCATCTCAACTGAAATGTCTTGGACCATGATAACGCCAAAGCCTGTTGGCATGCACCACCTTTGGTTTACCTCGCCGACCACATTTTATTCAGAAAGTCACGTCTGAGAGACGATCCAGTATGTCATAAGGGCCTTCCCATGGAGAAGACAACTTAGGAGATTTCCCTTTGGTTATCCTGGGATTATACAACCACACCTTTTCTCCTTGTACAAAGCTGACTTTGGGAGATTTCTTATCATAACATAGCTTCATGGAATCTGCAGACGTTTTCAAGTTTGAACGCACTTGATAGTGAATATCATCCATCCTTTCAGATAACACTTTCACGAACTCTGACACATTTTCAGGCAACTCTTCGTAAGGTGGGCTTCCTATTATCAGGTCTACTGGCAACAGAAGTTCCCGACAAAACACCAGTTTGGCTGAAGTGTATCCAGTGGCTTCATGCACTGCTGTACTCTGAGCCATCAACAGTGGAGGGAGTAAGACATCCCAGTCATCTTGGCTGCTATTACAAAACTTTGCCATTTGCTGTCCCAGTGTCCAATTGTACTTGTCTACCCATCAGACTGTGGGTGAAGTGGCGTTGTCCTGGTCTTTCGTATGCCAAACAACTTGCAGC